AAGAAAGCTGTAAATCTCTTCCATCTGAATTTTTCAATTGTTTGCTTGATTCAGCCTGCCAAAAAACAAATAAAGTAGGGCTGGTAATGATTAAAATTTTCGTGTTCGATTAATCAAACTTTTTTTTAATTGATTAATTTCAATTAATTATAACGCACATACAGATCCAACTACATTGGCCTATACACATACAGCACAGCAATGAAGTAATAAAATGAACTAGGATCACAGTAATCCAGCACGTTATTAATCTCACGTGCCCCACTCAATATGGCCGCCGCTTGAGTGGGGCGACTCAGAATAATAACGTGCTGGATTAGTGTGATCCTAGTTCATTTTATTACTTCATTTCTGTGCTGTATGTGTAAAGGCCAATGCCTCGTGCAGAAAGTTTCTTGGGCAAACTCACCGACCCAAGTGGCTCCGTCGGCTAACGAAGGGGGGAGGAGTCCAGTGACGTCACGGACATCGGCCCCACCGGACTCCTCCCCCCTTCCCTCTGTTAGCCGTCACGGACATCGACGTCACCGGACTCCTCCCCACTTCCCTTCGTTAGCCGACGGAGCCACTTGGGGAAGGGGGGAGGAGGGGGACATCGACGTCACTGGATCGCCGACGGGACTCCCAGAAGCCGGTGGAGAGGTGAGTGTTTTCATTAGCGATCAAAATAATTTTAATCGATCAAAAAGTTTAACGATTAATCGAGAAATAAATCTTTAATTTTCACAGCCCTAAAATAAAGCTAACATTTCAGTTTTGGGTAGAACTGACTATTACATTTGTAACTGTGAACCTAGTAGATGGCTGCACAGAGTGGGGGAGCTCTTGATATCACTCTGTACCTGCACACAGTAGATTTAATATGTTTTTTAAGTGAACCTACAGTATATTTAAAAAGTGACGATTTGTTATATTATGGGAAATATTTCGAAATGACTACTTCCCCATAGATGCAGTTTGAGATCTAAGGCACTGTTCCTGACTACTAGTATAACAAAATTTGGAGTTAGATTGTGACGTCATTAGCGTAATGTTCACTCTTTCTCTGGCTGCAGGAGAATCTGTACTTGAGGACCCACAGTGTAAGGACATCCCTGCTTCTGCTTTTTTATTCTGTGAAATTATGCTTTCTGCACCTCTCCTGTTGCTTTCTTATTATTATCTTGGAAAAAAGAAAAATAGCACTGCTCTTCACAAACTCAAAAAATATATTCCTTAAATGGGAGAAAAATGTGATAAATTGTGAAATTGTCACAAAGTGATGAAACATTGTTGTGTTATCCACAACTCCTGTGTTGCACAATGCCTGTGCTAATGATACTGGGCGGATCCATACGAGCATAAAGGTGCCCATACACCTTACAACCATTGCACGACTTTCATCCTGCGATGGTTGTAAGGTAATTAAAAGTTTGTACGATCTGCCCATCTTGGACAGGCAGATCGTACTTGCGATCATTCCAATTCTGAGTGGGCAGTGTGCACTTGCACACACCGGCCCGTGCGGCATTTGTCTCCCGAGAACGCCACTAACCCGCTGGAAATCGCACGATTCTCTGCGGGTTTTCAAGCCTGCTCGGGAGACAAAAGAAGTGCGACCTTACAGTAGAAACGGTTGCACGCCTTCCATACACCTGCCGATTATCGTACGATCGCGGGATCACCCGTGACTATTGTACCATAATCGGCAGGTGTATAGGCACCTTTACAATCATAGAGACAGGAACTCCAGTGAACATAATCCATGTGCAATTGCCTTATTGTAATTGTAAGTGTATTTTAGTCACTTTACAGCTCAGATATTTTGCCCTAGATTGTTCACTTCTTCTGCCTTCTCCAAACTCTTCACCATTTAGTGAATAACCCTGATAGTGTCTTCAGGTTCAGGGGATTTGGTCATAAAGAAGAAATAGAGGTCCATGCTATTAGTGATATACTGCACAGTAATAGAAGAACATGGTCATAGGTTCCCTTTACATTTACAATTAAACAAATACCCATAGGATGCACACACTTGATTGTTGAGATTTTCATTTTTGCTTTTGTAGACTGGTCCCATTGTGTGCTTTTGTTTCAAGGAAGGGATTATTCTTGTAAAATGCTTTTTAGAATAGTTTGATGTAGCAAAAATTGCTCCCCAGAAATACTAAGAAAGATGGCACACTAGTAATCCTGTTGCTGGTAAAAACTCACTAGCAGCAGTGTTGCAATTTTTTTCACTGGCTAGATAAAAGAGGCCTCAGTATTTATTTAAATAGGCTGTCTAACGCACCAGAAAAGGCGCATGTCCCATCTTTGGCAATGCACTGCAATGCACTTGCAGTGTAACGCACTTCCATTGCCAAGGTGTGTTGGTATGCCGTTCACAATGAATGGCACTTTATTCCACCAACCTGTGTTATACCGTGCACAATAATGTGAATGGTTAAGAGCTGACTTAGCCCACCAGGCTCCTTCTATGACTAAATTAATGGTTTTGGGTGGACTCGCCATCTAAAAACTAATTTTTGTTACATTTGTTTTTTATTTGCATCCATCCATTTTGGCTATATTGCATAACACAATGTAACTTCAGAAAATCAACAACCCCTTCTGATAATCTGATCAAAGTAATAAAAGATAAGGGTCCAGTCCAGCACCCCACTTTTTTTTTTTTAGTATGGCCCCCTTCCTGAAACATACCAAGCATACTAGGGATGCACCGATACTGTTTTTTCGGTACCGAGTACCGATATTTGTTTTCGGTACTCGTCGATGCCGAATACCAATACCGGAAGTCCCATTAGGGAAGCCTGGGCGGCGAGTCATTACACCAGGTGACGAGGGAGCATGGAGTCGGCTTTCTGGACAATTAGGAAGCCGGGGGGCGGGTAATGACTCGCCACCCGCTTTCTGAATGGCCAGCTTCCCGACCAATCAGGTTGCTGCTTGTGCCGCTGGTCGCAGTCGAATGCTGCGCATGCTCTGTGCAGCGAGCCAATTTTGCCCCAATCTGGATCCCGTGAGAAGGTGGGGCGAGGCTGTGCGCAGGCGCATTGGCGAGCGGTTTGCGGGACTGAGGTGGAGGCTGCGGAGACATACTTCCTCATCACCAAGTGACAAGGGAGCATGGAGCTGGCTTCCCAGCCAATCATGAAGTTGGGGGGCGAGTCATTACCCGCCCCCCAGCTTCCTGATTGGCAGGGAAGCCAGGTCCATGCTACCTAGTGATGAGGGAGCATGGAGCCGGCTCCCAGGCCAGGTACGAGTACTCACCCAAATACTCGGTATCGGCACCAGTACCGATACTAGTATCTGTATCGGTGCATCCCTATAGCATACCTTTGCAACAAGTTGTGTGGTGATGGTCCAAATCAGATCGCAGACACCGGCTTCTGTGAAGTGTGCAGTGATCAGTGCACATCTGCCCGTCTCTGTAGATCTGGCAGCCAAACATCCATAACAGTGCTGTGTCCCGTGCTGCCTTGCTGTGCAACCACTAGATGCTCCACAAGAACCAGTGTTGTGCCTGTCCACAATAGTTACATGCCATTCATTTTCAATAGCAGCCTAACACACTAAGGCAACACAGCCTGGATGCACATGCATTGCATCACAATACAAGTTTTGTTTTTGTTTGTTTTTACATCACAATACAAGTTAAGGCATTATTGTGTGTTGTGGTGCTCTGCATTGCCAAAAATGGTACATGTCTTTGACATTTTGGTATTGCCAGCTGGGCCACCTGAACTCAATGTGTGTGAACACACTGCACCAGGATGCCAACGTCTGGGCCCTCATGAGTGCACTAATCACTGAAGCTTGCACCCTGTAAAATGTGTCTGCTCACATGTGAAGCTCACTGATCGCTTCAGTGATTAGCAAGCGACCATGAACTTGCAGCAAAGCGGTGGCAGAGACCCTAACTATCTCTGAATGGATGAGGACGCTGAGTGTCATTCAGCCCACTTCCTCTGAGCCCAGGGAATTAGGGCACCGAAGTTACACCTTGGACAGAAGTATGCTGAAGAGATCTGCACCATGCCAATATGTGACACCCATCTCTGCAGCATTTCAGACTCTTTCACTGCCATGGTCATCATGACACACAAGTATACAATAGATCCATATTTCACTACTACATGGCATATCCTTGAACATGTTAAATGTTTTGGATCAATATTAGGGGCATCATCAAAGGTATTTATGAATTTGCGCACCTTCAATTGTCACGGTTTTGCAATATGGCACAATTTTAACTGAACATATATTTGTTATTGAATAACTTAGCATAGTTTTATCTCTTAGATTTAGTGTGAATTTGAGGTTACGTTTGTCTGCACTAATAATGATTTTAGTGCATTTAAAAAAAATATATAATCTTGAGAAACATTTATGCAGCTATCATGGGATATACAAAATCAACATTACCATCAATTAACTGTACAGGGTCTGCGCTCTCAGAAAATATATAGGAGGGGGGTTTTTACAAATTTCCAAGGGTAAAATGTGCATGTAAATATGGCAAAAACGTCTGGCCAGCTGAGGCACAAAGGCAAGACCTGTCAGTGAAAGGATTCATAAGAACAAAGGTAATTGTTTGAAACAAGTCACTTGTTTTTCCACTTAACTTCCAAGCACAAAGACATTTAACTATGAGATCACCTAAGAATAAGAGCATAAATGTTACTACTATTTTATGACTATAGTATGCAACCAGCTCGCTTCTATTTTGCATCAAAACATTTTTGAAAACTACTATTTTTGTATCCATCACATAAAGTTTGCCAAAGTTTCTTCTTATGGCTACTCTCTATATAAATATATGTATTTCATATTTTTGCATTAATCCAGGTTGCTGGATTTAAAGAAACATGATGCTGTCTTCATATTATTCACACACCTGTTCTGAGCCGCCTTCATTGCTATTCACCAATTACTAAGATACTAAAAAATGTTTCATGTGTACAAAATATGATCCTTAACAAGAAGTCATAAAACAATCAGATACAGTACAGTACCTTTCCATGTGTTACTGCATACACAGACAGGAACATGTTCTCGTGTCACCTGCATATGGCATATGCACTAGATTTGTGGCGCAGCTCTCAAGATTAACAAGTTTAACCTGTCCTACTTACTTTAAACACACCTGATAACTCCTTCCTGGGAGGCAGATCTGCATCAAAGTCTGCCTTTCTTTCAGGCAATCCCAACTTAGCTATTTTTCAGACTACACTAACAAATGCAGATAAGTTTAACAAGTTCATAAAGAAATCAAAAGTTATATATATATAACGCACATACAGATCCAACTACATGGCACCTATACACATACAGCACAGCAATGAAGTAATAAAATGAACTAGTATCACACTGTTATTAATCTCATGTGCCCCACTCAATATGGCCGCCGCTTGAGTGGTGCAATTTCAGGGAGGTGTCCCTCTGTTTCAGGGAGGTGCCCCCCCACCCCCCCATCCGCGGAGGGGAGAAAGGGGAGAGAGCACCCCCCTTGAAATGATGGCAGATAGCACAGGAAGCAATAGCCTCTTTGCTATCTGCAGACTTTTTTTTTTTTTTTTTAGGGCGGCCGGGAGAGTTAGGCTGTGTACTCACTGTGTACCCCATCGGTTAACGAATGAAAGGGGGAGGAGTCCAGGGACGTCACGTACATCGAAGTCACCGGACTCCTCCCCCCTTCCCTTCGTTAGCCGACAGAGCCACTTGTGGAAGGGGGGAGGAGCCTGGTGACGTCGCGGACATCGACGGAAGACCCGGAAGCCGACGGAGAGGTGAGTATGGATCAAAAGAACTTTGATCGATCAAAATAATTTTGATCGATCAAAAAAATTAACGATTAATCGAGGGATTAATCGTTAATTTCCGCAGCCCTATTTTAATTTTATGTATATATCACAACTAGACCATCGACTAGAAACTGAAATCAGCTTCTTCTCCCAAAATGAAAAGGAAGATAATTTCTACTGCAGTTAGAAATTTGGCTCCAATTTAATTTTGATGCTAACAATGACCAAATGGTCTAGTTAGATATATATGGCTAGTCAATTGCCTACAGATAAATAGAAATGTATACTTTACCAAAAATTGAAAAATCATTTGTCTGAGAGATGTCAACTTTGTGTCAGTGTAGGGACAGGAGATGTTCAGGTCCTCTTTGGTTCAGTTCCCCTGGTCAGCCCGTCAATCGGCTTCAGATCTCTCCCTCCGGTGTCTATGTACGTCCACCTGTATATTCTTTCTTTTTTTCAGTCTTTCTGTTCTCCTCACTCCTAACTTTCTCCTAACTTTTATCACCCCAAAAATGTGGGCGGAGATCGCTTATCTCATGCTGATTATGACGTCAGGATGGTATCACTTTTCTAAAAACTTTCCCTGCAATTACCTAAAGGGGCAGTATTGGACTAGAAATAATTTTGGACTTTTCCTTAAAATTCCAATATTATGCCATGAGATGACCTCTGACCTAAGCCTTGAACAAAACCCTAAATTTAACAGGGCGGTCTGTTCTGTAGAAGAACCTGTCCGACTTTAGAGATGACTGTCTCTATAGAGAAGACTGTCTCTTTAAGAGATGTATAGCTTTTAGAAAGTCTGAACAACAACAATTACATTTTCTTCCAAATACCTTGAGAATGAAGTAATTTGTACTGACACAGTGGTTACTCACATTCTTTCACTAATACAAAATAACACTATACCCAACATAATTATTTGTACTTTGTACCATATTAATAATATATACTAATTTGTTTCAATGAGTACAACCAAAACTAATAATACAATTGAAATGATTGCTAATACAATTTCTTTCAAATAATAAGTAACTTTTATAATGAGCTCTTTTTCCAGTAATGAGAAAAGAAAAGAAAATCATAGTCTCTTTTGTTCTTTGTTAATCTTGAGACATGGCAATTCCATCAATCTCATTCTAACACAGTCTGGTATCATGGTCAGTCCTTATCTCATCGTTGCTGTCTGTAACCACCGCAATTTACAACCTGGGAATGTATGTGGTAAGGCTCTAAGAATCGCTGATGTTAGAGCCTTTGTCCAGAAACCATGAACTCCCATTCACCTTATATACTGATAGAAGAGATAGAACAAAGATGGCTTCCAGGATGCCCATGTTACAATATGTAGAACAATATGTATAGGCCTTACATTTTCATTCCTTAGCCCCAATAGTTCTGACAGTTCTTGATTTATATTGAGTACCAAAGAACAGTGCAGTGCCTTTGTATGCCTTTGATATTGCAGTGGGGGCCACACACATGACATCACAAGCACAAGGACATCATAAAGATTATTTTGTGTAAAGCATTGACGTAGCTGACAACTATTGTAAGAATTATTTTGTTTGTGTACATTGCAGATCCGTGTGTGTCTGAAACTGAACAGGGCAATTTTTCTGCAACAGTAAATTGCCAATATCTGCATATGCCATTTTCTTTCTTGTTTTTTGTCATTTTGTTGGTACAAATGTCTGCACAATGTTTCACTTTTTGCAACAATAAATATCAATTTAATACTGTGGCCTTTTGTGTAATAAGCAAATAATTCACAACTCCCAGAGAGACTGTTATGCTACCTTGTGTGTGTGTGTGTGTGTGTGTGTGTGTGGTTATATAACCAGTGCCTGTTAGCTCAGTTATTAATTAGCTGCCAAGCTGTAAGAGGTTGCATCATGTGGCTGTGCCCTTGTATTCTCAGTAATTGCAGCGGATGGCTGCCAAAGAATAAGATGGTCAATCTGACTGCATGCAGATTAATGTCAGTGTGTGGAAGCTATTGTATCTGCCATAAGCAGGGACAGATCTCATTGCCAGAAATTGGGATCTGTGTGTCTATGGTTGTCTAGCAAACCAGTCAGCTGACAAACTGCACACGGTGGCATTTACCCTGAGAATTATGAACCTGGTGTGTGTGTATTTGGGGGCAGCAGGAAAGGTGGTTGCTCAAGGGTTCAAGCTGACAGGATAGCTTGGGGGAATCTCAGAAGCTTGGGAATCACCTAGCTGCTACACAGCCCTAAGAGTGCACCAGACTGTATGCAAGATTTTAATTTGCTTGTGTGTCCAACGAGCTAGATTTTGGAGAAGTCGCCCTCTAGTGGTGGCTGGCATTATTGCAGGCTTTGATAACTGTCTCTCAACCTTGTTCTACCTCTCCAAAACAAGCTCAGTCCTCATCCCTCTTTTTCCAAAGGAGGATCTTGCTCCAGTTAGCAAGTCACTGTGGACATGATCTCTTGACAGAAGCCCTCCCAGATCAGATTAAATAGCAAGATCATTCAGAGGCTGAAATGCTCTGGCCTCCTTGTCCAGGCACAGATTGCAGTCCAGGGAAAAATATTATTCCCCCCACCATGGCAGAAGACATAGTTCCAGAGCACCTTCATGTCACAGATACTCGCCATTTAGGTAATATTTAGGCCATCCTCATCTTGGTTCCTGTTCAGAAGGTTGCTGGTCCTGTCCAACAAGGCCCTTCCAGGGAAAACTGTTTTTGAATAGAGACAGAGAAGCAGATAAGCAGCATGTAGCCTCTCTATTAAGGCGAGTATTCTAAGAATAGGATTTTTCGAAGCCTGATCAAGCTCCAGGCTCATCACAGTCTCATCTTTCCAGACCTCAAGCACAAGCTCCTAAGGAGCATGTGCAAAGAGATACTCAGAACGATTCCAGGTCCAACAACTTAAGTAAGCATCCCTTTAATGAGGAAGGAGATAGGGTTTTGTCTGCTCCCTTTTTTAACCAAATATTAGATGAGTATGAGAAGCACCTCTGTGGGAAGATGAAGAAGAAAAATTAATATGTTTCCATTAATAGATGGGAAACAGAATATCATCACATGGGAATGAAACAAAATGGATAAGATGTAATCCTTGTAAATAACTTCCACAAACTATATCCATTATGAAGGAAAGCACACCACTCCTCATTGATGCAGTCTTAATGAAGCTGGCAAGGCATATTACTTTACCACTGGAGGTGGCGGCGGAGCTTGCAAACCAGCAGTGGCACTTTCCTCCATTTTGAGGGCTCAGGAAGTGTGGGTTGAATGGGTGTAAGAGGTTGTATCAAATAATCTCTTCATCAGATCAGCATCAAGGATTATGATGGGTTTAGCCACTGCTAAGAGAACCATGTGGCTAAAGCTATGAATGGCGGACTTGGCCTCCAAGCAAGCCTAGTGCAGAATCTAATTTTAGGGTCAGTCCCTGTATTGGAAAAAAAACTGATATCACCATATCAAAAGCAACTGGAAGGAAGTCTAGCTTTATCCTCAAGACCGTCATCTATTGAGGCAGAAAATACCACAACTCAAGTACCCAAGATAGAAAGAAAATTAAAGAAATTAAAAGACCCTGGAAGAACTCTCAGGCCTCCTTTAGAAAGTCCGGAAAGGCTACTGCTTCAGCCAGATAGGGTTCACATATGTCCTTTTGTCGCTATCCAAATTTGCCATGTAGGAACCAGGTTTTCAAGGTTTCAGCAGATTTGGGTAGACTACATACAACCAAGAAATTCACTTCTCCCAGTAGATTTAAGAGATGCTTAATTCCATATTCCCATCAAGTCTTCCTGTGCTTCATGATAGGGAAAAATTATTTTCAATTTACTTGTTCACCGTTCGGTCTGACAACATTCCTTAGAGTGTTCACCAATGTGATTTTGCCACTGGATGCTTTTTTAGGAGAAAATAATATTTGTCTTTTCCATTATTTTTATAACAGCCTGCTGTTAAACCAGTAGGGAGATACCCTCACATTTCACAGGGAGATAGTACTACAAATGCTAAAAAAAATTGTCTGGATGGTGAATATGGACAGGAACCATCTTACCCCTTCTAAAGAAGGGGCTCACCTGAATACAAGCACAATTAATACATTACAGATACCAGTAATCAAAAATCAAATTCACTTAACCCTAGGCATGACCTTCCTTCATGCTTCACAATGCTAAGGGGTAGTTGGTACCATTGTCTCAGTATCATTGATAGTCATATGAGCACATTGCATAATCTGCCTGTTACGACAATTCCCCCTGGGGGTGATG